CGATATTTCAAAAATCCATCAGATTAAGATCATAAAAATAACCATATTTTATATAATTTTTTTTTTACTGATTTTATTTAATAATTTAAAAGAAAAATCCGAAACAATTTTATCTATTTTTTTAATCCAATAGGTCTCGCTATAATTTTATACAGCTTGTACCCCATTTTAATTTTTGTTGCTTGCTAGCCATCGTTAATGCAAAATGTATAAACCTAAAATTTAAATTAGTTTTTTTTTTATTTTAAGGAAATTAGGATTTGATCATAATTAAGATTTTAAAAATTCTTCTACCCTACTTCCATTTCAAAAAGTTTGTGGGGATGATAGCTATCGACAATGTCAACCTTCATCTATGAAAAGGTAAACCACCATAGAATCGAGTCAACATATGTCTTATATACTAGTGAGATGGAATAATATTTTTAAAGTTGTAGGCTCACTACAGTACTCCCCTACCAGAATTATATCTGTGATAGAATTCGACAAACGGATACCACTAGTTGATTCATTGCTATTTTGTGTGAAGCCGGGAGAGCTGTATTAAAATCACCGTACTTTTGCTGATCGTGATTAAATTAAGGGCCGTGATCGCTCCTGTTACCATTTGTAGTCTAGTGTATGCAGGCCGACGTTGTATGTGATCGAGACTGAGTAGCAACAGTACGAGGAGGTGGATAATGTCGCAGTCACGTGTAACAAGTCAACTGTTTAATGTGGACCATCCATCGAAGTAGGCGTGTTCAGATCGAAGTGGGCGTTACTGTCAAGATAGGAGTGTTCATATCGAAGTGGGAGTTTCTGTCAAGGCAGGCATGTTCACACCACTTTCGAAGGTCACCAATGTGGGGATGGTCACATCTACCATGTCAACCTTCATCTATGAAAAGGTACCTCACCATATAATCGAGTTAACATGTCTTATATACTAGTGAGTTGGAATAATATTTTTGTAGTGGTAGGGTCACTACAAGTTTTTCGGTTCGCTATATGTTTCTAGAGATACTAGACCGTTTCCATACTTCTTTTTACCCTATGTCGCGTGACATATTTCGTTTGATGCATGATGGTACATTAAAGCACTTAATGAAAGACTAGGATTTGATCTCCAGGGAGATCAGCCAGGTGGCACTTGAACCCGAGCCAGCTTCAAATCAATGGGTATCAGCTTGTCGCGGAACGAAAGGCGGCTGATTCACAATGCATTTATTTATTAAATGGGGGGCTATTTGATCTGCAAAGAAAATGAATCAGATACTCTTTTGACGTTAGTGCAGCTAGTAATAGGGTTCTATTCCCAATTGAGGCTTAATTCTCACCCATCTTTTTATCGATGGGTATCAGCTGGTTGAAGTAAAGGCGGCTTATTCGCAATACGAACCAAATTGTTACCACTCTGCCATTGGACATGAAATTGTGAGTCTTAACCTTTCCCTGATCCACAATGGGCCGCAGCGGGAATGCTTTCTTTTATGATTCAGCTCACATTTAATTCAGAAAGTCAGCAATTGAACATATCCTTTCGTTACTAACGACAGTTCTGAAAGTAATTTTCATTGCCTTTCGTGACCGGTTTTATTTTTATTGGCTCATTTGTCTTCGAGATGTGGTAATTTCCTGGGAAACATCGATTCTTAAGCCTGTCTGGGACTACATAAGTAGCCTGTGGAATGGGACTTTCTTTTCACATTTTACTTTTTGATTGGTTCCAAACAAATCGCCTTCGAACTAACAAAAAAAAAACGGAAAGAAAACAACTTTTGTTTGACCGTTCAGCAAGAAATCTTTGAAAAAGAAATCATAAGGTTTAGACTGATTGCGATTCGAAAGAATTTGCAAAAAGTAATTTTCTTTGAAGTGTAAAACACGAAATTATCTTCGCTTTTATATTGAAAGGAAAATATTCTTTTGTCACTTTGAAGACGAAAAGGAAAATGATTGAAATTTGCGTTAAATAGTTAAATATTTGTGAATATAAAAAGGTAAAAAAAATCTTGTTTTTTATTTTTTTAAGAGAATGTCTTATTTGTGTAGTTAGTTTCAGAAAATGAAAAGTAGTATTAATGTTTCTTCTCATAAAAACTATTAAATTCTTTGATTAACTGATGGGAAAAAATTCAGCTCTTGCTGTAAATGCATGAAACTCTTGAATTTCGTATCTTCTTCTTCATTAAATTTGAAAAGAAAAACCCATTACCGCTATCGGATGAAACTTTTTTTTTAAATCTTTATGAAAATCTGCATACTATGCTACTTAAGAGTTGCTTTGTTCATACATTCAGTATTTGATTAGTAAAATTAGTATGCTACTTGTAATTTTAATTCGATAACTGATTTTTAGTACTGTTTACGTTTAGCATGTGATATGTAAATTTAGGGGTATTAATACAACTTGATTATGTCATCTTAACAACTCCTTATATAAGTATTAAATTGGGTTTTACTATACTATTTAAATAAAATATTAAAAAACTGCAGTTAGTTTAACTTTTTAAGAAATTCATTAAATTATTTTATAGTATGTTAAATAGTTAGAGAATTAATATTCTTCTTAAACTGGATGATAGTTATAAACAGTTAAAAATAAATTATTTTTAATATTTGATATCTTTTTGAAAAAGTAATTCTTCTGTCCTATTCACATTGGTTGGAAGAAACTTATTTCCGCCAGGTTCTTTTCTAATTTTTTTAAGATAGATTTCCTATTCCTGAATTAAACACGATAGAAGTTTTGAACTATAATATTTAGTAGTTTTGATTTGGAAATTTGTATCGAAATAACGTTTTTAAAAGCCTAACGAACTCTATTTCGACGTGCTTCTTAAATTCTCTAGATGCTACTAGGAGGTTTATAACATGCATTATGAATTAATATGCGTCAAAATCTAAATGTGTAACTTGATAAATCAACCGCAGAAGATAACTAACTGAAACTTGTTGCAATACTTTATTTCTCGAAAGCAGAAGTTTATAAGCAGTTCAAAATACTTTTAAGAAAACTTTCGACATTAAATTATTCAAGGCATATTATTTTCTGAAAAGATTTCAATTAATCAAAAATTATCGTCCATAACTTCCAGTAGTTTTCACGAATGAAATGTTTAGGAACGTATTCTGGGATCTCTTGCTCTTTTACGGATTGTAATTTCAACGAGAAATCAATCCCGTTGTGATTTAAATATAACCCGAAAACATTTTGAGTTTTCATTATTAATTAGCATTATTATTAACAAGGAAGTTTATCCGATGAGCCACTCAATAATATCCGTTCAAGAAAAATAGTAGTGATCGTTGCATTTTGAGTTTTAATAATTAATTAGCATTATCATTAACAAGGAAGTTTATCCGAGGAGCCACTCAATAATATCCGTTCAAGAAAGATAGTAGTAATCGTTGCATTTTGAGTTTTCATTAATTAGCATTATTATTAACACGGAAGTTTATCCGAGGAGCCACTCAATTATATACGTTCAAGAAAAATAGTAGTGATCGTTGCATTTTGAGTTTTCATTATTAATTAGCATTATCATTAACACGAAAGTTTATCCGAGGAGCCACTCAATAATATACGTTCAAGAAAAATAGTAGTGACAGTTGCATTTTGTGTTTTAATTATTAATTAGCATTATTATTAACAAGGAAGATATCCGAGGAGCCACTCAATAATATACGTTCAAGAAAAATAGTAGTAATCGTTGCATTTTGTGTTTTAATTATTAATTAGCATTATTATTAACAAGGAAGATATCCGAGGAGCCACTCAATAATATACGTTCAAGAAAAATAGTAGTGATAGATGCATTTTGTGTTTTAATTATTAATTAGCATTATTATTAACAAGGAAGATATCCGAAGAGCCACTCAATAATATACGTTCAAAAAAATAGTAGTGAAAGTTGCATTTTGTGTTTTAATTATTAATTAGCATTATTATTAACAAGGAAGATATCCGAGGAGTCACTCAATAATATACGCTCAAGAAAAATAGTAGTGATCGATGCATTTTGTGTTTTAATTATTCATTAGCATTATTATTAACACGGAAGATAATCCGAGGAGCCACTCAATAATATACGTTCAAAAAAAATGGTATTGATCGTTGCATTTTGAGTTTTCATTATTAATTAGCACTATCATTAACACGAAAGTTTATCCGAGGAGCCACTCAATAATATACGTTCAAGAAAAATAGTAGTAATCGTTGGGTATGATTATATTTTTTGTTTCTATTTTCTAACCTTTTAATTTCAGTGGGGAAAATAGAATAAAAAATGGAATACCCGAATAACTTTTGATCTAATGAGTTGATTTTCACTTACTAGGATGCTATCTTTATGGTTTAAGTGTCTAGTTTTAAATAAAGTAATTTGTACCGTAGTAATTTGATATTTTAAAGCAAAAAATCAGGTACAGTAACGTAATTACTCTGAAGAAGCTTACCCTTTCCCCCCAAGAGATTCCGATTCCTAATCTATAAAATAAGAGGTTTATGGAGATAATTTTATGCAAATTATTATTAAGATTATTGAATTTTTTTATTTCTTAATTCTGGTAAGGACAAAAATGTTTATAATTGTAATGAATACTAATTTTTACTGCAGGTATTTATTTATATTTCATTTTATACATAATTTGAATATTTATTTCAATACTTTATTTTTCACCTAATTTATTAATTTATCATTAGGATTTATAAATTTTTGTTTTTAAAAACACTAACACAAAATATATTTTCGAAACTTTAATTGGATATTATTGTTTATTTTATTGTCTTTTTTGATAGTTTTTTGCAAGCTGTATTTCTTTAAATAACATTTTATAAGAATTTTTAGAACATCGACATCCTAGTCCTAGTAATAACATTTTATAATACACCTGAATCGAAAAGTGTGTAACCGTTTTACCCAAAAAAGAGTGATCGAGAATTCACTTAGTATAGGTTACAATGTTTATTAAACATTGCCTTCTTAATAAATAGTGTATTCTTTTTTCCTTTACAGGTGACAACACTCTGCTTATTAATTATTGCAATTAGTAATGTTTGTAATGGTTTGATGTTGGATAGACTTCCCAGACATATTCCACTCTCCAAAGATGGTTTTAATGAAGATGGAGTAGAAGACGATGACTTGGTAGATACATATGATACCTCCATTGAAAAGAAGAAGTTATTGCCAGAGCCAGGTAAATCAATAAGATTCATAAATAATTAACGAAGGTAACAAACTAAAGGGTTTTTCCAATAAAAACTTCGATTATATTTTTGATAAAAACTATATTTTTTTTACTTTGTTTTACTTTGAGCATTTTGACATCAAGTATAAGATAATCCACAAACTTTTCAAGATGCAGAAAAATATTGAAAATCACTCACTGAAAACAACACAGGCATTTTGTAAATTGGAATCGTCTGTTAACTAAAGTATTTTGTATAAAGTTGCTTATTTTAAGTTTTTGTTTTAAATTTGTTTTTTCAATTCCAACTTATTTCACTTGGCGAGTAAGATTACTCGACTTCTAATAAACCTATAAAATTAAAATTTGATTATCGGTTTGAGTATATCGTGTTGCGTAAATTCATAGTAGAACTAGAATGTTGGTAAATATTTTTTTGTCAAAATAATTTTTTTAATAAACTTAAAATAAATAAAATAATTTAAAAAATATATTTTATTTTTCAATTTCTTTGAGCTAGAATGGTTTTTAAAAAAGCATATTTGGCTGCGCATTAAAAGTTGTTTTAAGTCATTAACATGATTTTTATTACTTTTATCGCGCGTGCAAGACATAATAGCATCTTTTAATCTACAAAATAGCTTAAAAAAAACTAAATTATAAAAATTCCTTGCATTGTTTCACAGAGAGTTTGCATTTTAAAAATGTCTGTGCTTATGTTAAACTGATATAAAAAAATTTAGAATCTCAAGTTAAATTTTAGATAAGTTAAAGAACATTGAAAAAAAATAGTACTAAATCGATGAAGTCTGATTGAAATTAAAAATACCCTGACTTCTTAATTAAGTAGTCCAATACAAAAACACTTTACATCAGTATTCGGCAAAAGACTGCGATCGGGAACAACAGAACCAGAAAAGCATTTTAATTCAAATTTATGGGAGCAGCAATAATAATAATGATAATAATAATAATAATAAATAGTGTTAGTCGATTTTCACTACAAATGTAAATACGTAAGCAGTTAATGCAATATTTATTTCAAGAGATTTGAAATTTCAAAAATTCAATTGCTTTTAATATTATAAATGATGGAATTTTCTGTTCTCTGATAAGCTATATAATTATTAGAATAGTATAGCCCACTATATTTAATAAATTTGAATTATGAAAAAGTATTTTAAACTTAAAAAGAGTTTTTGTAAATTTCGCAATAATTCCTGAGATTCGAGCTTTTAATAATGGCTTAATATAAATTTTTTACTTTAATATATGTAGAAAGTAAATTTAAAAATGCGATGAAAATATAAAAAAAAAAATCAGGTGCCTTAATTTTTAATTTGATTTTGACTAATTAAATGGTTGATCCTGGAGTTTTAGTCTTATTTTCGTCATGCAACCTTTTCGAGAAAAATAGTGTTCATTAAAAACTTTCTCGGAAATTAATATGCAGCGTAAAATAAATCAATGATAAAGATGATGGTAAAGTTTTGAGTAAATAGGGTATAAAATTTCTTCACCGAGTTTTTCGATTACAATGTTGTTTGAAATGTGCAGAATAATATTTTTTAAACGGATTGCTAGTTGAGTATCCATTCTTTGTATGGATTAAATTCGTAAGCATGAAATGAATCAGCATTGCTTTCAATCTTGCTCAAAAATGAAAGACGCAACGATTTCTGTTACTTCCATCAAAAAACGAGTATTCAGCTTGTAGTTTATGAAATAAATCATGTGAAATTAAAATCAGTGCCTGGTCGATATGAAACGCTTCTTAGAATCAATCTTAAAAAGACTAATTCAATAATTAATAAAATTTTTATTTCATTTTTCTAAACGTTTTGAAATAATATGTGTCATTGTATTTACATTGTTTGCGTTTGTATCATTATTAATACAGTCAAATGTTACACATAAGATTTCTGTATGTGTATTTTTTACGAGATAAATAAGATTATATACGGTTTCAAATTAAATGAATTGAGTTTAAAGCCTAAGTTATGTTTTAAGAAAACACTGGTTAAAATTTTACGTCATTATAAAAAACGCTATATTTCTTTTATTTACATGAATTTTAACTCAAGGAAAAGAATTCTGAATTACTTATCACGTTTTTTGAAAAAAATAATCTTAAAAGGGATTTTTTTTTTGAAGTTTCACTATGTTGTGCCTCTTACTCCCCATTTTTTATTTCATTTTATACATGAGTCTTGACATCAGACACGTGACGTCACGAGAGTCACGTGCGGGGTGAAGATGATTTTCAGTCAGGTCAGGAATTCGAGCGCGTGGTGATAGGCTTTTTACGTCACGTGGTTATTTTTTTTTATTCTACATAGTAGGACGTTCACGAGTTCCAGAATAGTATAAATTCGAGAGACTTATTTCAGGCTAGTGACGTCAGAATACATATCTCATCAACATGTTTTCGAACATGGAGTGTTAAGAACTAGAAAATAAGTAAAATATAATAATAATAAGGAAAAAAATAGTGCGTGGAGTCCCTCCGCGGGGAAGAAGTTAAACTTCGCAACCTGCGACGTTAATTGTAGAAGAATCAGCAGTCGTAGAAGGATCACTAGTTCTATTCAACGACTCTTTTTCCTGCTCCGCTCGCTTCCGTGCTCTGTAATCACGGTAATATTGTGCATTTTTCCCTCGCGGACCTCTTCAACCAGTGCTTGTGGTTGCCTCATCGTCGCGCCCTGGAAAATGTATTTGTATTAATAATGTATGTGAATGCGTCATAATGTAATTTCAGAAGAGTAACAAACAATTGATATTCACAATAGACGTACCTTGACATAACCTTAAATCTGTCGCATTGTCCGTGGGATTGCTTTCACTCATTTTTTACAATTGTTATCCACTAAATTTGAAAATAAAAAATACTACCCTATTAAATTATATGTGTATCAAAACAAACTAAAAAAATATTTATGGAAAAACAATACTTTTATGACTTTTATTATTTTTATGCTAGTGAGAACCAAAACAATATGTAAATGAATGAGGGAAAACTGGATCCTACCACGTGATTTCCCAGCCAATGAAAATGTAGCGTTAAACGTTTAACGCAACCTTGTTGGAAGTCGCATAAGAAGTATAACTTCAAAAAAAGCATTCCCGCTATAGCCAAGTGTAAGCCAGGGATGTCAAGGAAGTTAAATTTCCACAATTTCATGACCGATGGCATGAAGTTGGCAATGTGGGCAGCAATGCACACCGGCTCCCTATACTTCCCTGACAAACTGATGCCAATCCATCTGTAGCTGGGTGAGATATAGGCCGGAACAGGGAATAGAAACTCGTTCTACAGTAAAACATAATATTATCCAAAATATTCTTAAATGTCGCCCCCATAAATAACTGCAGTAACATCATCAAAATAGCTGATTTATATTTTCTTTCAGAACAAATAGCCCCCTATTTAATGAAACCCACATGGAAAGCAATATACCCCTTTACTCAAGAAAAGAAAATGTTTCGCAAACGTGCCGCATCTGAACACAGTGGTGATGTTAAGACATCGGAAAAAGATAAAGAGGAACTGGCAAACATTCTTAAGGATGACGACGAGGACGATTCTAAGGAGGAGAAGAAAAAGAAGAGCGTCAAGAAGAACAGCACCTCGAGACACCTCAAGAAGAAGAGACAATCAGAAGATGAGCCTGATTCCAAACAAACAGACGATGAGGAACAAGAACAGGAAGAACCTAAGAAGACAGAGAATTTCCAGGTGAGAAATAGATTAAATATAGAAAGAATATAGAATAGAAATATAGAATGGATTAAATATAGAAATAATATTATGCCACATAGTAACAATTTATATAAATACGATTTTATATTTTACTCAATTCACAAGGATTTCGTAAGTGATGTATTATTTGTATAAAATCTTGAATGTTTAAACTTTGTTTGCTGTGAAAAGTGCTTAATTTTTAGACAAAATTCAAAATTGCAATTTGCTTCAAATAGCTTTAAAATATTGTGCTTGGTGGATGTCTAAACAAAACTATATAATCGATTGATTTATGACAAAGAAGAAAATTTTTAAAAGTATGGTTTATATTTTTTCTACTGACCGGGAACATCATGTTTTTTTTTATAAAAGGAGCATCGCAAAGTTTCAGTCAAAATATGACGTTACGTGCACTTACTAAGACATTAACCTTTATTTAAATTTTTACTTTCAAATTTTCAATCAATTCTACAATATTATCAAAATCGATACATTTGGCATAACTGAACATGATTTAATTCTCGGTTTTAGGCAGCAAACACTATTTATAAAATCGCCGAGGATATTTCTTGACAAATCTGAAAGCTAAAAGTTTTATCTTGACAATTAATCTAATTAAGAACCGATAGCAACATTTAAAATGCATATTAATGCAAATTCTAAAATTTTTCCTATAGAGCGAATCAATATGAAAATGGTGGAATAAGATATCTTATTAACACCTTTTTTTAAGTAACATGTAATTGATATAACGATACAAAATCATATTAGATGTTCGAATTAAAAAATAGCTTATACCAACGTGTAAATAAATTGTAGTAATTGAAACAGCTGCAAATGATACACGGTTGGACAAAATAATGGAAACACTTCGATATTCACACATTTTTGGTATTTCTTAAAAATTACACAGAGAATCAGTTTGTAAATTTAGATGTGTTTAGAACGTGTCCTTTCTCATACATATCATTGAAGTTTAAAGCTTTTTGAGGTTTGAGGGACCGTCAATAAATTACAAACGGAAAGAAATGCTTATGAACACCTTATGTCCAAATAAAATAGCAATAAATTTGTAACTTACAGCTATTATTTTGGTTACTATACGCAATAATTACGCAAATTTTCATAAACCTAGTTTTTATGTATTCATAGAGATAAGAACATTTTCATGAAAAAACGAATTTTTTGCTATAACTCTGAAAATATTTAATAAAATTAAACAAAACCTTTGCACTAATTTAAAATTAATCTGAAAATTACTGCTTTAAAATTTGAGAAATTTTTTTTAAAAACGGCTCAAAATATGAGCCAATTAAAGTAGTTTTTTTATAATGTGCATGCAAGGGAAAAATTAGAACTTTTTTTTCTATTAATTTTGCAGTGAATCATATTTGGCAACTAATGAAAAAAATCTGATTTGAATAGCTCAAAAATGTAAAGAATTTCAAGCAATTCTCTGAATCTTCTTATTCCTTTAAAAAAAAAAAAAAAAAAACTCAAAATGATAAGGGGTTATCCACAAATTTCAATTTATATTATTAAAAAATGACACAGACACTGTTAGGGATCATCCCTCATAAAAATTATCTTTTCTTTCGCAAGTTTTACTTTAATACCATCACACTTTGTTGTACGGATCATCATTAGAGGGGAATTATCATTTATTAATAAATCTTGTTTAATAGTGCAAAATAAAATTTGTGGAAACCCCTTATAATCTTGAGATCCCTCTGAAAAAGTAAGAAAACTACTATCTCCAAGTATTTTTTGAGAAATAACAAAAAATGTTTTAGTACAGAAGTGCCTCCAGTATTCTGTCCAATCACTGTATGTTTCTCAGTTAAATGTAACAGAAATACCACTTGCAGCTTATCTCATTGGATAAAAAGGATCTCGTGATCCTCTTTCTACGCTTTCTTTGGTTTGATTGTTATTAGACTGTTATAGCCTAAAATACAGAGTATTTTACAAAGCATTGCCTGAAAAAATTTTACTTCTACATTTCATCTGTATTTTAACTGCTAAGAATTAATAAAAGGCAGTTTGAATGAAATAGAAAGTTGACATAAAATAATATTTCGACATCACCAACAAATCGCAACTCTTTGCCCAAAGTGCTTCTGATTTTTTGAAATAATGAGTTACTCTCGGAATTACGTATGATTCTATAAGTATTACGATATATTTGTTACAAAAAACTTCTACCTCTAATAATTCTGAAGTAGGATGTTTACAAACGCTATTAAAAAACATCCGAAACACGTTCCTTAAAGTTAACTACTATCTTTTATTATAACGATAAGATTAATAGGGGAATTCTAAAATAGACCTAGCTTTTTTCTTTAATTTGTTTTTTCGAAGTGTTACGTTAAAAAAGTTTCCTAAAAGGTTTGAGGGAATCAGACAATTTTTCATTTTTATTATTAAATGTGATAATTTTTAAGCATCCTTCAGACAAAAAAAAATATTTTTAATTATTTTTTTCTTCCTTTGATTAATGAAATGTGTTTTACTGAACTTTACTGGCAAATTTCATATTTCAGTTGTAGGAAACCTCACGTAATTTTATATGTTGTGTTTGAGCACTTTTTTAAAACTTTTCAAAGTTATTACAATAACTTAGAAAAGTGGTGAAAACGTATGTATACAACCTTGAAATTTAAAATTAACTATTAAAATAATAAATTTATAATCATTTGTTTTTGTGGACGAAATCTACTTTTAAGAAAAAGATCAATTGTGAATGCGAAGCAAACATGGAAGTAGTTGAGTAAGCCTCTTTAATATTAAATAAATAAACAAATATAAATATAAATAAAAAATACGATTATTTTGCTATATTTTTAGCACAGGAAACATTTTCTCCACTAAAAAGTCTGACTCAATTTTAATCTTTTTTTTTTAAATTTATTTGATTTCTGAAGAATTTTAAAAGAGAACATTATTTAAAAATTTGGCACTTCTTACTAATTGTAATTTTACGATAGTTATTTTAATTTTTGTTTAAAAGTTATATTACATTCAGAAATTCAGAGCAAATAATTCTCGTTTAGTATCGTGCAATATAGTAATTATAATGTTAAGACAAAGTTTTATTCATCATTACGTAAGTGCCGATATTGTTAGAAAAAGTATTCAATAGGAATGCATTGAGAAATAGAAATTTTCAATATGCGTATAATATCAAAACTATGAAACAATTCAACAAACGAGAAAAGAAACAAAAACATTTTTATGTAAATTGTTACAACATCACATGGTTTTAAGATTCAAACTGGCCTCGAAAGCCTTTTAACAAGTAGGTGGTGATCTATACAGTTAGAAAGTTCTCTGAAAAAAATTGGTTAAATAACAGTTTATTTAATTGGTATAAATTTTAATTAATTGTTATTTTACCATATTCAATCAAAACAAAAGTAACCGAAGAAAAAAATTATACAAACCTTTAAAGATAAAAAAAAAATAATTTATTGACGGATTTCACTTAATACTTTGAAAGAACCAGAATTTTATCTGCGTCAACTAGTCCCACAGCCAATGAAAATCGAGAACAAGTTTTTCAAAATCTGGAAGCTGAGCCATGTAATAAGGATTAAGAATTGATATATAGATTTTTGTTAATGGACGCCTTATAACATTATAAGTAAGTCATAATCTGCAGCTCCTTATGTTTTCACTAAGAAGTGTGCGATCAAATCCTTATAAAGCCACTTAGTTCCTTGCTGCCAAGTACATACATTAGCCGAGAAGGTTTATCTGTCACGAATGTTGTGAATGGTTCGGTGGTGAAACCAATACTTACTCCATTCCTTCAACACACGAAGAGTTTTCAGTGTCCGGCACTTCTCAATCGCTGATTCTGGACTAATTAAATACAAAACTATCATTCACGCATTTATCTATTCATTCACGCATCACAGAACTGCTAAGACAAAATAGTTTCACTAAATAATCTAATTAAGTCACATTTCACGGTTTACTAGACACAACACAACTCAACCACTACTCCAATGCACATTTACCTAACGAAAAACCTAACCTAGCATAAATGTTGTAAAATGTTTGCAACTGTCATAATCATTTAAAATATACTCCTAAAAGAAGATTTAAAAAAAAGTACCTTTCATTCTCAGGAATGGCTTCGAAAAGAATACTACAGAAACATGGCCAAGTCTTTTGCAACTATGCGACGCAAGCGAGATGGATCAGGTGGCTATCCAATGGCATTGCCTGTTCGACGACAAAAGAAAAGTATCCAACCTTCTACCAGCATTAATGATATCACCGACAACCTTCGCAATATTGAGGATCAGCTTTTTCAGGATGCCCTTCAAGTGATGAGGGATTCTGGGGATGAGTACGAGGATGATGTCCAGCGCCAGAATCGCATCAGTAATGATCTTAATCTCGCTTATGATTTAGAAACGATGAGAAATGCTTTCTTTCGGCTAAGGGACACTTTAAGCAACATGGAAAATGAAGAGGTTGGAGAGGAAGAGGATATGTATCATATGACTAGAAAGAGAAGTGAGTATTTAATTTGTATTTGTTTTGAAATATTATCTTTGTAAGATTTTTCATAACTGCAAACCTGCTCTTTTTATGAATAGTTTACATAAGTGCTAAAAAATAATTTCTTTTCTTTACAATTTTGCAATTATTAATATACGAGGCGCATCCAGAAAGTAAGTTTCCTTAATTTATATATTAAAAAAAAGAACTCACACTTTCAGAATCATATTTATTGGCAACAAGTACACCAATGTTTAAGCTATTTTTCAACATAACCACCACCAAAATTGAGACACTTGCCGTATCGTGGGATCAACTTTTGTATCCCTCTGTCATAGAACTGTACCGTCTGTGAATGGAACCAGCGTGTGACAGACGTCTTCCGTTACTGCGAAACACTGCGGAAATTGTGACTTGCCATTCAAAACAAGAATCGTGGAATGTTTACTGCAGGTGTTGCGCTCCTCCATGACAATGCTTGTCCACATACGGCATGACGCACAACAGCTGTTTTGACGGAATTTGGCTGGGAGTTATTTGATCATCCACCATACAGCCCTGGTATTGCTCCCAGTGATTTTCCCATTTTCTTGCACCTGAAGAAATTCCTGCCCTCCAGTAAGAGTTTTGGCAACGACGAAGAACTGAAGAGGTCTGTCACACGTTGGTTTCATTCACAGGTGGCAGAGTTCTATGACAGAGGGATACAATAGTTGATCCCACGATACGGCAAGTGTCTCAATTCTGGTGGTGGTTATGTTGAAAAATAGCTTAAACATTGGTGTACTTGTTGCCAATAAATATGTTCCTGAAAGTGCGAGTTCGTTTTTTTTTAATAAATTAGGAAAACTTACTTTCCGGATGCGCCTCGTAGGAAATCGAGAAGAATCACTATTTGTCATGATAGGAAATTTGCAAAATCATCTATATTTTTTCAACTATTTTCTTAAGAAAAACTTTTTTTATAGAAAAAAGATGTATTTCCTAGCATAAACATGGAATATGAAGCATTAAAACAATCAGAATTTGTTTATGTGACGCTTTAATAATAAAATTTACAACTTATGTTTTTAATGTCAACTCTTACACGATTATTAAAAACTTAGAATAATTAGAGATTTTAAAAAGGAAACTAGAAAGTTACCGCATGCATAATAATCTGTAGTTTTATGTTCAAAGTTATTTTACGAATATTTTTACTATCACACACATCAACTCTTTTAAATTAAGATAATCAGATATATTTATTAATTCTTCTTGCAACTGCGAGATAAATTGGAATACGTTTTGGTTTACATCTGCAAAGTAAACTTTTAGTTCCGCATTTTGTTTTGGAACAGAAGTTTTTAAATTCTTGGCAATCAGAAGCACTTTTTGTACGTAAAACCCTAATTACTTTTTTCAATCTTTCTAGAAACTTTCTCGAGATTGGTTTCATTAGAGTAAAAAGCTCACCGGAAACAATTTCTATGTTTGTCTAATATATATATATATATATATATATATATATACGTTTTATATATACAGTAGAGAACCAATTATCCNTATATATATATATATCCAAGCACTTTTTATTGGAGGAATTATCTAGGGAAGATGTTTTAAGAACCCTAACCAGGGGGGGGAGGTTGAGAAAAATTAAGACTTTTGGATAGTTCTCCTCATTAAAAGGTGAGAAATAAAGGAAAAGCTTTTAAAATAATTATCAACAAGAAATACTATTTTTTTAATCTAAAAATAAGTTTTTTTTTAACTTAAAAGAAAATAATAAAGATGAAAATATAAGGGAATTGAGTCTGAATTAAAGATAAAGAAAGAGATTTTAAACTTTGAATTAATGTTAAAAGACTTATAAAATATTTTTTTTGAGAATTTTTTCCCTAATTGCCGATATCCTAAGGTAAAATTGAAAATTTAGATGTGTAAGTGCTCCTATTGTGTTACAGGTGGTGAATGCCCACCATTGGATCAGCTAACTAGCGACTGTTCAGCACTCAGTGATATAATGCCTGAAGGTCCTTTAAAACGTCTTCTTCGTCGAGCATGCAATTGGCATGAAGTGTGCTACACATGTGTGAGTAAAAATGATTTGTTTGGAAGTTATAGTTTAAAAAATTTAGATTTAAACTTTGGTTGCTCCATTTTTCTTTAAAAAAAATCTATTATAAATTTTTAATTATGGAGAATATGTTAAAAAATCAGCAATTTTTTTAAAAACTGAAACAACATAAAATATTTGTTTTTAAATCTGTATTTTGTCATAAGTAATATGATTTTTATAATATTTTAGCTATTAATATTCATTTTATTTTATTTATTCATAACTTTAAAGAATTCTTCAATACACAATGTGAATTTGTTGTTCGTTTTTCCCCTAGTTGACAAAATCAGACATGGCTAAAGTTTTAATCGTGCCAATGGAAAGTATTTAAACAGTTTGAAAAAGTTAAGAAAATATTATTAATATAATATTTCAGCAAACTTAACTGATTAAAAAATTAAAGTCATGAAGAGTATAGTACAATTTATTTACTTCCTACATTATTAAATAAATAATATTGATCTTCATTTCTTTGTTTTTTTCTCTTGCTGCTGACATTAGTTTCAATTTTTTTTTAAAGAATTTCGCCAGTTCAACCCCGAAATCGGAGAATTTGTTCCGTATTAAATATTTATCTTTAAAATGTATGAAAAATTCCTGGTTTAGTTGTTAAAATTTGGATTTAAACATTGAACATCAAATTTTTTTCACAATATTTATAAAAATATACCAACTAGAATATTTGTTTTTGTTTCAATCCCATTTCTTAACATTTTAAAATTCATATTTTGTATAAGTACCTAGTTCTTTTAAAACCTGATATCCTGGTAAACTCCACTTTCTTTTTTCAATTTTTGCAACTGTCTACGTTTAAATAAGTATTCTAAGTAATAATAAATTGTACTTATCCGATAAAAATAAATGCTTCCCAACTTTCAAAATTGGGTAAAAAGGAAAAGTAATAAAGTTTTACTCAGTATTTTAAGTATGGATTAATATATTGAAATATTTATAAAGATTTAAGTTAGTATTCACCTAATTAGCAAAAAGCACTTATTAAATTCTCAGTGACAAATCAGCAATCTCTCCAACAATCTAGATGTATTTTTCTCGTCAAACTAACAAAAAGAACCTACGTAATAAAGTTCTCAGTTTTGCATCGTTTCAAACAAGCTAGAAAAAAATTTACTCATCAAATTAACAAAGAGCCGGCATATTTAAATTCCCATTTATATGTCCTTCCAAACAAGTGAGAGTATTTTTTATTCATGAAACTAACAATGAGCCCCCCATGTACATATATTCTTAATGGCGTGTTTTTCAACAATTTAGAGAAACTTCTTCTCATTAAACTAACAAAAAGCACCTACGTTGCTAAATTGTCAATGTTGCATCTCTCCAAATAGTCTAAAAAAACTTTTACTCATAAAAGTAACAAAAAGCTTCCACGTAGTTAAATTCCTATTGATATGCCATTCCAAACAATTGAGATAATTTTTTATTTGTCAAGCTAACAATAAGCACCTACGTAGTTAAATTCTCAGTGATGTTTCATTCCAAACAATAACAATCTATAAATCTTTCATTCATCAAATTAACGAAAATAACTCACATAAATTAAATCTCACTGATGTCTCATTCCAAACAATCTAGATAAACTTTCTGGAAACATTCCAGACAATGTTTTTACTAAGATTTGATAAAGTTTCTATCTGGGTCCCACTGAGTGTAAGTCAAATATTCCCATAGCTCTCCTTTCGAAGTGAAACTACTTAAATTGTTTTCCCCAGCCGAAGGGTATGAAAATTCTTTAATGGAAAGTCCATTCCCCATATGGTATGGAAGCCATTGAGGCATCACAGAACGATTCGGTTGCCGAAGTAACAGGTCTCAGACGTTGCATTGTTACCATTTCTTCGCTATTTAACGAAGCATTAGGACCGAGATAGGCAAAAGTGAAATGCTTCCGGTCTCTTAACGGTGTTACCATGGTAACTGGTCAACTTTCATTCGTTTTCCATCCATTCACTCTCTTCAAGTAGTTTTATGATGGATATTATATTCCTGGAAGAAATAAGGGAGATATTATTCTTCCGAAATGAGCAGTTCGGTTGATGATGGACCGCTGATATTAAAACTTCGGCTGTTTTTATTTTTCTTACTGAGTTAAAATCTGATAAAAATTCTTCGGGTGGATGTTAATAACTGTTAAAATGAGGAGTGAATATTAATAAAAATGGCTGATAAAGTAGAGCTATTAGGAAATGATTAGTTTGGAAGATGGTAATAAATTTGATCAATATAGATTTACCTAGGTTTAGGTTAAAAATAAATATATTATTTTTTTGATAAAGGTTTTCTGCTGTAAGAAAATTAAGAATTTCTCAAAATCAAAAAAACATGTTTTGCAATTAAATGTTTATTCTTTCTGACCGAAAAATTTCGAAATGACCGAAAGATTCTTTCACCGAAAAAGATTTTGAAACAATTTTATTAATTTTAAAAATAATTTTGTTCTTGATTATATTATATATTGCCCACTTCGCAATGTTTGTAAGTTATTTTTGCATCTGTCTGTGAACATTTTTCTATGTAGGCATCTCTTTTGTTATCAAATGAGATTCCGTTAAAAAAGTACTGATATTGGAACCGTAGTATTCGATCTAAAACTGATTTGGTTTTAGTACAAAATTCCTATTTAGAAGAAAGAGTGGGGGAACATTTTAGGATAATTCTTACTAAACTTTTTTTAAGAAAAAAAAAGAAGAGAAATAAAGTGGACTCTGTAAATTAAGGACATCAGTTTCGAGTGACTTTGAATTCAGTTTCACACTCAATTTAATTCGAAATTTCCTAATTCTGTTTCTTGAAGCCTCAACACGACTATTCAGATGACTCTTGTCTCGGAAAATATGATTTTCAAAGTGATTTAAGCATTTTCTGAGAAAAAGAAAATGATAGCATATTTTCCTGTCAGTGGAAAGCCTGCAGCTGCAATGACCGGTTTTCTGTTTTATGATCTTTGATCTTTTGTACTCAATTACTTATTTGAAAATCAAAATAGTTCAGATTTGATCTTGGATTTACCTAATGAATTGGAGTTATGAAAAATGCGCCGTCAGGAGACATTTTAATTTAGTTCAACTTGTAAAAACATTAGTGAGGTTCCCTAGTAGTCTTTCTGCTTCAATTTAAGTCCAAGTTCTAGAACATGACTTCGCACTTAAGTGATTTTAAAGAATATTGATCAGGGGAGTGTCATGGGTGACAATCTGACTTAATAACACTCTCTTCTTTTTCGCTGTTTGAAATTTCAGACAAAAAATTGTCCTTTTTAGGAGACTAGATATTAATTAAGCGATTGTAATCGACTGTTTAAGGGTAAATTCAATATCTGAGTTTCAAATGTGTTAAAAGTGAGAAAGTCATCTTTAAAGCAGTGTGGTTTCCCAAAACAATTGCAACAAAGAGGCAATTTAAAAACGTAATTTCAAAAAATATTTAATGTAAAATTAAATCTGTCCCGTGACTGCGTTGAGTACGCGAAACTATGATTCATTTTGAGCGTAAAACACAATTAAAATTAAATTTTATTTAGATTGCAAAGAATTTGACTCGTTCAAGATTGAACGAATTTTTCCGAAAGTTTGTACGATAATATGGTTTAATATGGCATTATATATGTACCCATGTATTGGTAGATATGCACCGAAGAGCCATTACACTATGACCATCCTGCTAATAACATGTAGGACCACCTTTAGCCCTCAAAACTATTAGCACCCGCCGTGGCATTGATTCCACAAGATGCTGATAGGTAGTCCGAGGTATCAGGCACCAAGCGCTCACCAACTGGTCCTTCAATTCCCTCACATTGCGAGGGGGTAGCGTGGCAGCACGAATTTGGTTTTCCAAGTAGGATTACAAATGCTCTATTGGATTAAGGTCAGGTGAATTTGGGGCCAAGACATGACTTGAAAATCACTGGAATGTTCCTCGAACCAATCCATGACGATTCGACCCTTATGACATGGTGCATTATCCTGTTGGTAAACACCTTCCCCAGCAGGAAAAGCTGTTGCCATGAGTGGGTGAACCTGGTCTGCAGCTATGTCCAAGTAGCTTACAGACGTCAGGGATTGTTCTATGAGGATTATGGGTCCTAATATGCCCCATGAAAACATTGTTCTTGGACGAGAAACCATGAAAACCTGGGCGAGCCCATTGTTATAGATGGAGTATGGTCATAATGTAATGGCTCTTCAGTGTATAATACCATATTGAACCATATTATTGTATTTCTTAACCTTGAGTACACGATACTGTGGTTCACTTTGAATGTAAATTAAGATTCAATTTAACACATTCTCGAGGTTGCGGTGAATTCTCGCCGTTTAACGTTGAACGAATTTTGTATCAGAAAAAGAACGAAAAGTGTATCAGAGTAAGTAAATTGTAAATTTTCCTTTTATTTTGTATTCTTGTTTCAGGGCAAGGCCTACGGGTTGACATCAGAAAGCTGTGACGGTAGTTTCATTGAACAGACACAAACCATCTGTCGAGGAGATGCACCATGTGAAAGTACGGCCAGCTTGTTGGTGGTACCTCTGAGGCAGAGGCGAGTATTTTACAAGCGCAGCAATCCAGAAATCTGCGTTGAAGAACCATGCGTAGAAGCATACTTGAAAGAAGGTCTTGCTGCCATGGAGCAAGGACTTTATTCCATTCGAAACAACCTCAACACCATCAGGCATGCTTGAGCATGAAAGCCGATGAAGATTTATTTCATTTTTTATTTGTTTTCATCGATGTAGTTTCGCGGTGACAAAAAGGGTATATTTTTTTTCTTTCTTCTGTTCATCGATTGATGTTTGGGTGGGAGACGTGTGTCGCCGCGTTGGCCATGTTACGAGTCAATTTCAGTTCTTGGTGAACATGTTTACCTTGTCTTTCAAATCTCGGCTTTGGTGTAACGTACATTCGTTATTTTATTTCGTGTGATAGAGCTTTCTTAGATACGCTTCTCAGACAAGATAGTGAGATGACTAGCTTTTTCTTAGAAGCGTTATTTGGGAGAGTAATAATGACATGTTAAATGTTCATGTATTGTTCCATAAGTTTAATCAATGTTGTATTTATCAATAAACATTTTGAAACATTTACGATATTCCTGATTTTTTTTCTCTTCTCTATGATTTCATTCTTGGGGCGTTTGTTTTGAAAGTCAGTTGAATTCACGTTTTTTAAAAGTATTTATTTATTTATTGTCATCTCTGCTCTGTCAATTATGTCATGACTCATGCCTTCTAGTCGGTATTTTGCCTTGAGAAAAAATACACATTGCGTTTTTATTTCTTCGTTCTTACCATTTCGCTGAAACTGATCCTTTTTAAAAATATTTTTTAATAATTATTTGAAAAATTAAATAAAATGCATAAAAATGTATTATTTTTCCTTTTAAAGAAGGAACATTTTTTTCAAATAACAAAAGTAATTTAAGCTTTTTTTTCTGGTGTGCGGCTCAAACGTAAAGTTAAACAAGTACCATTTAAAAGAAAAATCAAATTTTATGAGCTCAATTGGAAATTAAAATTCTTTTCCTTATAAAATTTTGCGCAAATATAAACTTCAGTTCAATAATATCAGTAAAAAAAGGAGAAAAAAAATTATCGATATTCTAGCACATTAGTGAGTTTTTTCTTAAAATTAAAAAAACGAGTTGAGCTGGTTTCACAATCAACTTACTATATAGCAAACAAGTGAAAATGCACATAAACACATTTCATATATCATATTTGAATCTACTTGAATGACAGTATTGAGGCCGCATGATGCTTAGAGTTATTGTATTCATAATTTTAAAAGCATGTAGCAAAATTTCCTGTTAAATATTATAAAAATGTTTTAATCGTAAAAATTTGTGTTTAAAATGTGTAATCTTAAATTCGAACTGAATAAAACATTAACTTGGATAAAAATTTATGTATTCTTATCTCAAAATAAGAGCAAATTTAAATTATCTAAAAAAATTTTTTAAGATATCCTTTACGTGCAATACTACTAAATTTATACAATATGAAAAGAATTAGAAAATATTGCTTTAAAAATACATTATTAAATTAAAAGAAATTTAATCAAGAAAACATGCGAAATTAATTTACCAAAAGGGTGAATCTAAGAAATTAAATATAATAATTAATATAATAATAAGAAATATAATAATTAATATAATAATAATTAATATATAATTAAATATAATAATAAGAAATTAAATAAATAAGCGATACCAAATTTTGACGAAGAATATAATTTAAAAATTAATATTAAAAACCATGATTCTATAGTTGATTCACAGTTCTTAATTATTTTCTATGGTGGTTTATATGGTTCAATAAAGTTTTTGACTGCGAAACTAATTTTAAAAGCATTGTATCATATTGCTGCTGGATGTTAAATTTTGATTTAGACTCGTAATTTGTCTCTAGAGGCAGATTAATAATTGAAATTGTATATTTTAAGGAAGAGCAGGGTTGGATAAGTCTCAAAAGAAGAAATACCCAGTTGTATCGGTTGCCAAAATTAAGCCATCCATTGACTTTAATAATAGTATGGTGATTTTTTGCTGTCCTCTGTAACTTCTCCCATAGCCACGTAATTTCAAGCACAATCCAAAAGACAAGGGAACTCCTGAATCAATTAGAGTGAAAAAGTAGCCTTCGTGGAGGACTTTTTCATAGAACTTACCCTCATTTGCGTTGCACGGAGAGGAAAAGCACGGAAAACTCCCATGGTTTGCTTGAAGGCAAAGGAACTTTAACTCATGATCCGTCTACCAGTGATGATGTTTTACGTCATTTCTGTGGTCAGTGCAAGCTGGAAGCGAAATTCGTATCGACCAACTATCGCTGGGAATTCGAATCCAGTTCAACTCATTAGAAAGTGAACTTTCTATCCCCTGAGCCACTGCGGCTACAATATGTTAGTTTCAAATGATGCTATAAATTTTTATAATATACCTTTAAAGTATAATTTATACTCTTATAGTATACTCTGGACCGGGATAGCCTGGTTGGTAGGGCATTGGACCCATGTCCAAGACTTCGTGGATTCGATCCCCCCCGGCCGAAGACTCTCCGTGTAGTAAATGGTGACTGATGTACGTTAAATCTGTCGAGTCGCAAAGTCCTCCATGTTCCCATAATAAATCAATACTTCTGGGGGTACTGATACAGGAGTTTCCTTGTCTTTTGGAATGGTTCGAAATTACAGTTCTACGGAGTTGAATATTAGTAGCCATAACCCCGAAATTGGGTCGGCTGTTCAACGACGGATATATATATACATATATAGTACGACCTTAAAGTATAATTTGACACGGCTAAGCTTAATATACACCTGGATTTGTTTAGAAAGAGAGTCCAAACAGTTTTGATGAACGTTGTACCCAGTTTCAAACCACTCGTTGAAAAGTTGATAGCGTATATCCACCATTATGCAGAAATGATGGTTTCGACAATTTACCCACTGTGTCACACATTTTCTACGATGTTCGATTTTAAAGATTTCGCAGGCGAATTAAAGCATATTAAGGTAAGTGAGTGTTTATAAAACCTATTCTGCCACGCAATAGAAGAATTGGTAAAAAAATCTGAACTGAGATTTTTATATAATTGGCATTTTTGTATGATATACTAGATATTACAAACAATTTAGTTCCAATCATAAATTTTGTTTTTATTAGTCTTAATTCTATTTTAGCGTTCATAGCATTGAAAGAAATTATTAATTGAAAGAAATTATTAATTGAAAGGAAATAGTTGTCAGGCCATTTTCCGCGATATTTATCATGAAGCGCTAACGTTGTTTTTTTCAATTGCAAGACAGTATTTTTCCAGAAAAGGATTTTTTAAAATTTTATTTTATAATTCGCGCTGAACAGCCGAACTAATTCTGAGTTTACGACTATCAATGTTCAACTGTGTAGTCTTATAAATTTGAACCAAACCCACAAGGAAAGGGAACTTCTGGATCAAGCAATAGGACAAACTAGCCTTCGTGGAGGACTTTTTGATGAAACGAATCGACATTTGCGTTACATAGGAAGAGAAACTTACGAAAATATCCTATGGTTAGCCCGAGGACTAGAGCAACATACCACCTTGATCGAAAAGTTCCCGGAATTTATTCAGAAAATTAAAAATACAAGTTTATTCATCTAAATCTATATTGTCCCCTTCAAAGTAATCCCCATCGACTACAACACACTCGTGCCAGCGCTTGATCCAATCCTCGAAACATTTTTTATGTTCAGTTTTCGGTATGTCCATCAGTGCTGCCTACGATTTTTACTTTGATGAACGCCATCCACTTACCTGATGTCTGGATTGCGTGTCGTACTCATAAACCCACGTCTCGTCTCCAGTAATGATCCTTCTGATGAATGTGGGATCGGATTCAGCCTCGCAAATCATGTCTTTTGCGACGTCAACGCAGTTTCTTTTTTGTATGAAATTGAGGTCTTTTGGCACCAACTTTGCTGCTACACGACGGAAACCCAAATCATTAGCCAAAATGTCTTGGACGGATCCATAGGCAATGTTCAAGCCCTCCGATATCTCTCTGATGGTTAATTTGCGGTTATTGACCAACATTTCTTTTACTTTATCAATGTTTTCGTCGGTTTTCGATGTCGATGGTCTGCCACTGCGTTCATCAACTTCGATTGACTCACGACCACTTTTGAACCGCTCGTGCCACTGATAAATGATCGTTTTCTTTAGAGAATCGTTGCCGAAACACTTTTCCAACATCTCATTAAATCCGTCCCAACGAGCACCATTAAATCCGTTTTTTTACGCTAAATTTAATACAAGTTCGTTGTTGCAAATTTTAATCCATTTCTAAAATTGTAAAAAATCGCCAACACACACAGAGATGGATGCACTCTTGGCTACGTAACTTTTGCAAATGTCAAGCTATGACGCTAAGATTTAGAGGGAATATCAACAACAGATGTACCAACTTAACAACAACAACAAAAAAAAAAAAGACAGAACTCAAATCGGAACGATGGTTGCGCCACCCGGGGATTATTTCGGGAACTTTTTGATCAAGGTGGTATGATCTGTCAACCAAAGACGATATTTTGCGCCGGCAATAGGGTCGGTGTGAACCGGGAGCAGAATTCGTATCGACCAGCAATCACTGGTATTCGAACCGGGTCACCTCATTTGGAGGCCAACGTTCTATCCTCTGAGCCACCACGGCTCAGAAAATAAGAAAATCGCTATTGACAACTTAAATAAGATTAGATGTTGACTGAAATGCAACACCTAATCATCCTAAACGTTAAAGTAATCATGTCAGAGTCCCGGAATTGATACACAGTAAGAAAAGTATTCCAAAAGCATCTCAGACCCACATCTTTACGCTAAACGATGCTTTTTTAAGATTTAGAGGTTAGAAACTTTTTATTCGGAGAGCTAATTATAGCCGAGGGAAATAAAATGCAGTTTAATGCATCGCCTAATTGTTCCTTAACAGCTTCCTTTTATTATCCTGCCATAAAATCGTTTTATCTTTATTGATAATAGAAGGAGACGTGTTTAGTGACAATGAAATGCTTTTAGTGATGGTCAACGTTGTAGATATTTCTCGATTCTGTCTATAATATCTCTGAAACAGTAAAAGTATAAATCAGAACGGCGAACTAGTCTTAATAGTTAGAACATTACTTGAAATGAAATTGATAATAGTAAGAAAAAGGAGGTTTCAATTATATAGTAGACCTTCGCTTCGTTTGACTGGAATGGGTGTAGAAATATTACTCGACTAAATAAATATTTTTTTTACGAAAATCAAACATTTAAGAAGTGCCATTCCCTATAAATTTGAGAATTGTAACATTCTCAGAAAATTACAGGAAAAATTTCGTATCTTTATGAAAAAAATTGGTTGATTCAAGTAGTTGGAAGGAGTAAATATTTATTCTGAGGAAGATGATTAATACTAGTTAAAGAAGATATTTCTTCGTGAGAAACGGTGCTTGAACAGATATGTTGAGGAATGATTGTAAGAAATAATTATTATCCATTTGTCCGATTATTCTATTGATCAGAATGATGAAGATAAACTAATTTATTGAAGATAAATTAATTAAACTTCCTCAATCAACAAATCAAAAATGAGAGTGTTATGTATACGTTAGAATAGTTTTCGCCAAGGAAAGTTTAGGAATTGGCTATTAATAGCATAAATTTATTGAGAAGGCATTTTTTCTTTGCCTTACGCATTTGAATGGGTTGGCGGGAAAGAGAGTGTGACAAGTAATAAAAAAATTTTATAAAAATCCAAGAATTTAGCAGCCATGTAACGGTTTTTGAATTTAATGTTAACGTGTTAGGCAGATGAAGGGGGAATCTCTAAAATAAATTTTATTCTACGCTCAATTCAAGTTTGTTGTATAAAAATATTATCAATTAAGATTTTTATTTATTGAGAAAAGAATTAAATTAGATAATTTAGTTTTTAAATGTTAGAAACTATGTTATGCATATTTCAGCTTGACAGTCTTATAAAAAAAAAGGCAAAAAAATATAAGTTAGGAAATATTATTTGATTTTGATGTGCCCAGAAGAATCATAATAACCTTCGTTATAATCTACTACCATTATCTACTATTAGATTATGTGATTTAATAGATACCTTCGGGCCGCGACTCCCCGTGTAATAAATGGTGACTGATGCACGTTGAATCTGCCGGGGTCACAAAGTCCTCCATGTTCCCATAACAAATTTTTCCTCTGGGGTACTGAATTAGAGATTGATCGTTCTGAATGGATGTATGGATGTATGAATGGGTCCACCCTATAAACGGGTGGTATGGGAGTGGCAGAATACGAATTCTGGGTCATAAATAGTACTACTGGAGAATGAGAACACTCGCATCCTCTCTTCCTTAATGGCCCTAGATAACAACAATGGATACCTACCGTGTAATATCGGTTGCGAGTATTGGGCAGTAGATTCGTAGTAACAATTGAAATGCTAGTACCACAATCATGAATCACTCAGCTGTAATTTCGTATCGGTAATCAAATCGGTTGGTAAGGATAGCTAGTACACTATGTTACTTTACTTCAGACGAAATTCTTGCATTGATAAAATTATTGCCTCCCCATGTTTCAATGTAAGTTTCCAATTAAGATCTTTCGCCAAAAAAAAAAAAAAAATGAAACAGTCAGCATTTTATTGCATGAAAATGGAAGTAAAGCTTTATTTTTAAACTATGAACCTACAAATTAAAAAAAAATGCTGAAAACACTTTAAGCTTAAATATATTTATCAAAAAATGTCGATTTAAAAAAAAGAAGCAATTTTCAATGCTTTTTTTCCTCTTAAAATCAACAAAATCAGATTCACACGTAATCCATCCATCCGCAGATCGTAATTTTGGATCTAAACCAGCGCATCCGATCTAGTAACCCCAGAGGTATTGATTTTTCACGGGAATTTGGAGGAATTCGTGACTCCAAAAGTCTTATTATGCTCTCAGTCACCATTTTGTACACGGAGAGTCTTCATCCAACGGGGATCGAACTCACCACCTCTTGTACATGGCCCCAACGCCCTACTAACCAGGCTATCCCGGCCTAATGTTTCATAACAATATTTAAATACAAGAAATTATTTTCGTTTTTATAAAAATTTGCTTCTCTCCCTACAAATGTTTTACTTCATTTTCGTAATTAAAATGGAGGACTCTTAGCAATAGATTAAAAACATTTGACTTATCAGTTACGAACAGCTGCTACAATTTCACAATAATTATCAGAATCACATCTCTCTAAAGATATATAAACACCTTGTCGTGGTGAGTGTGCTTGCGTGTGTCAAGGATCCACTTATATATGCCAACGGTATCGTAACTACTGGTAAGGCCTCCTGATTCTGATAAGTCAGTGGTGAGACACCAGGCTAAGAGTATCACCCTGGCCCACCAGGTTCGGAGTTAACAACCCTATCTCGTTAAAAACTACCGAAACTGAAATTATACAGATCCATCTCATTGAAGGGGATGAAAGACCTCTATTTCTCAAATCTGTTCTACTATCTAAATCTGAGACATGGTACTGAAATAAAAAAATATCAGGAAAAAACTTCAAATATTTATTAACAGCAGTTTAAGAAAAATCTTACGTATCAAGTGGTTCCATAAAATTTGTAACTATGAAGTCCATTAAAAAGGCAAAACAGAAACCTATTGAGCTCTGGAAACTAAAAAATGTAAACGGAAATGAATTGATCATGTTCTGCGTAAATCTGAAAAATTTAAAGTGAAAAATTTAAAATATATATATAT